ACACAACTTGAACTGCTGAATGATTTAATTCAAGATTTCCTACATTTGAACCACAGTTGACCATGGGTAAATGAAAGTGCAGAAAGCAAAACTACAAGGAAAGAGAACACCCAATAGATGATACCATCCTTCAGTTATAGCACCATGGAAAGTAATGTGGCGATACCTCAGAGTAGTGAACATATTCAATCCTTATTTACATAAAAATACAGCTCAGGAAATATTACATAGAATTAAACATAAGAGTGGAAAGTATCTATAGAAGACTTTCAAGGCAATGCTATTTAAAAAATTAGTCTTTATTTTTATTAGTTTACGTGTATGGGTGTTTTGCCTACATGCTATTTCTGTGCACTTCATGTGCTCCTAGTGCCTGAGGAGGCCAGAAGAAGATTTCAAATACCTTGGAAATGGAGTTGAGATCTACCATGTGGGTGCTGAGAATCAAATCCGGGTGCTCTGGAAAAGCAGCCAGTGCTTTTAACTGCAGAGCCATCTCTCCAGCCCCAGCAATGCTATCTTTAAGAGAAAATTTTGGAAAATTCCAAAGCCTTTGTGGTGGTTTGAACAAAAAAAGGGAGTGGCACTATTTGGAGGTATGGCCTTGTTGGAGAAAGTGTGTCCCTGTGGAGGTGGCCCTCATACATGCTCAAACTATGCCGAGTGGTTCAGACCACTTCATATTGCCTGAAAGTCAAGATGCAGAAATCTCAGTCCATATCTAGTACCATGTCTGCCTCCACACCACCATGACGATAACAGACAAATCCTCTGAAAATGCAAGCCACCCAAATTAAAATGTTTTATCTTAATAAGAGTTGCTGTGGTCATGGTGTCTTTTCACAGCAATAGAAACCCTAAGACTGTCTAAGAACCAGGAAATTACAAAGTGATAAATTAGTTATAGCTATAAGGAGAAAAATGTGACCACATTAGCATACAATGTACAAAATTATTTTTATATCATTTTTGTCTTCAGTTAAAACAAACTGCTGTACAAACCAGAAGAACTCTTTAATGGGTCCACAGAACCCACATAAAAGCTGGGTGCCCACAGAAATGCTGGGTGAGCTTTCCACCTGTAACTCCAGCCTCACGAGGGAGACAGGAGTCATACAGCAAGCTGGCTAGTTAGACTAGCTATATTGGAAAGCTCTGAGTTTGACTGAGACCATGACTCAATGAAAATGGTGGAGATCAATTGAGGAAGATTCTTGACATCAACCTCAAACCCCTATTCATTTGCTGTGTGGACATGTGCACCCCAGATACAAATGGACTTGCATGATGTACACATGTACACTACACACAGGTGAAAAAAATAAAAAGAGGGACGTAAAGGAATTTAAGTAATTCACCTAGCCACCGAGTGTGGGAGGCAGAGCTCCTAGTTGACTGAACAGCTCATAGGGAGGCTGTTTACTTCCACCCTTGTTTCATAGTCTGGTAGCAACAGAACAGTGTATTAGTTCTTTATTGTTACATGGCAAACTACCCAGACTTAACGGTTTTAAACAAGAAATATGTACTGTCTCACTCAGCTTTTGAGTCATCAGGAATTTTAAAGGGGCTTTGTGAAGTGTTCAGTCTCAAAGCATCTTCTGAGGGTTCAGTGGACCACGGGCATCTGGGAATTTGGAGATCTACTAGGGCTCCTCAAGCAGCCTAAAGACCTCGCCTATCCCTCTCTCCCAGAGCCACTTAAAAAAGGGCATGGAACCTCCCTTAGAGCTAGTGTTCTGTGTGGGAAAAAAAGAACCCTGCACCTCTCATAACAGTCTCAGGGTGGTAACACCATTTCTGCCACTCTGTCAGACCAATATACCAACTCTAGTGCAGTGAGTGTCGGCGTGGGAAGTGTTAAAGGTAAGCATACCATCAGGCGGGGCATTGAGGATCATGTTAAAGGCCTGGCCATTATGCCCTCTGACCCTTGGTAAGGTGATGCTTTATGTTGAATTCAGTAGTTGGTATCATCAGTACCGCCATCTTTTAACTCAGATCCAGATATTAAGCCATTCCTGGCCTGTGCTTCCTCGGGCATTCCCCAGGATGGTTTCTGTTGTGCTATGACCTATGACAACACTTGGCCATAGCTCTTCATTCTTGTCTATAGTACTTTTACACTGAAAGACATTCCCCAGGATGGTTTCTGTTGTGCTATGGCCTATGACAACACTTGGTCATAGCTCTTCATTCTTGTCTATAGTACTTTTACACTGAAAGACAAAGTCTGTAGCTGCAATGATGACCAAGTGGCTTACAAAGCCAAACTACTTACTTCTTGGCTTTCAACAGAAAATAATCTTCAATTTTTCTTTATGTATATGAGTGTTCTCATTATGATTAAGCTAAAGAAACAGGATAATTAACTTAAAGATTTGTTTTTGGTTAGCTATAGATAACCCTATATATAATTCCATTGAAAACATGGGAGAGGGCCAGGGATACACTGGTAGAGCATGTGCTTAGCAAGTTTGAGGCCCTGGGTTCAATTCCCTGACTGAAAAAAGGAGAAATGGAAATTACAGATGAGCAGGTCACTGAAATCCACTCAGGCATAACTTCATTCAATTTTTTTACATATGTATAAACATACAATTATACATTATATATGAATTTTAAAATTTATTATTTTTATTTATGTGTGTCTGTCTTATGTGTAGCTGCCTATAGAGGTCAGAAGCGGGTACCTAGCGCTAGCAATACAGGTATTGGCTATGTGGGTGCTGGGATCCAAACTTCAGGCCTCTGAAGAACAAGTGCTCTAGCTATATAGTCATCTCTCCAGCCCCTATATATGTATTTTCAAGTATAAAACAATATACTTCCCTATGGCTTTTTCAATCAACCTTGGTATTCTTTGTTTCTCTTCCCTCCTCCCAAGTCCAAGCTCCCTTTCCCATTCCCCTCTTCATAGTACCTGCATCCTACTATCTCCCTCTCTACAGCTCCTTCCCCTGACCCCCTCTATCCCATTGTGGTTCCTTTTTACTTCCTGGTCTTTGTGGTTATTTCAGGTTATATACTCGTACCTTGAAGATCTGGAGCAAGGACCCACAAATAAAAAAATCATGTGGCATTGTCCCCACCTTCAAGAGCCATAGACTAACAAAAACCCTGGTTCCAGACATCCAACACTTCAAATTGTTGTTCAAGGATGTCCAAGAGACTCCCAAAACAATTTCACCCTTGGTTGTCACCCAAAACTTGAAGACAAAATCCTATTACTGAAGATATCATACACTGAGACACAGGACTTCAAGGAATTGAGCTGCAACTGACCTAAACCCATCTTCTCTGAGGACTGGTTTTCACAGTATCAGAGGTGTTACGCAAGCTGGCATGAACCAAAGCAATGGTTAGAACAGTGAGCTATCTGCAACGCTACAGTAGTGGCACTCTATCTCGGGGTAACAAACAGCTGTCTAACTGGATTTAGAGCCCACTCAGCAGAAGAGAATTCAAGCCTGGCACTGTAAACCTAGCCAGTGATCTGTGGCTGGAAAGGTCATAGACCTATGAGAAGAACCATCAACTGTCACGCTCCTAAATCAATAGGATTTCTAACTGTATTCTAAATACCTTTATACCCATAAATAATGTAGCTCTCACATCTTATCCAAGAACAGTTCTATTAGGAAATGTTTCTGGTGGAGGCAGAATGGAGTCTTAGCAAGCTGACAGTTGTGGCCTGCTTAAGTTGTGCGAGGGGAACCTCACAATCATTTATTCCGTGCATTCTGACCAGTGTGGGTCTCTGTAATAGTCTACATCTATTGTAAAAAGATTGTACAGGTTTCTCAATACTGCACAAAATTCTCAGAAGCTGATTAAAAAATACAAAAAGGAAAAGAAATTCAAGCAGGCAATAGCTGTAAGCTCCCTGTTAAGACTCTGTTCTGCCTCCACCAGAAATGGTTCCCCATGGATAAGGTCACCACTTTCAAGGCAAAGCTCTTTGAACCCTTCTTTTCCATGGATGTTAGCACATGTTGAGCTGCTGCCTCCCAGCTACATCTGACTTAGAAAGTCTGAGAGGAGAGGCATCTTTGCATTTTGTACTCTATGCAACCCTTACATAAATCTTCAAAACATAGTTTTCTTAAAACTTCACAGGTCTCATAGGAGTCTCCCCTCTTTTGGTCTCTTAGTGGTCTCCCCCATTTTAACATTAATCTTGAAATTCTGTTGAAAGGGTTGACATGAGGATCATTTCCTTAAGATTCCTAGAAGTCCTACTATTTACCAGTAACACTATTAGCCTGGAAGGCAGTAGGGCTCCAAGGAAACTCATGGGATCTAAAAACATATCTGACTGAAAACTCCTCAGGGGCAGCACCTTTCTTAAGTGTCAACAAAGGGGTTTACAAGCAAACTCTCAGCTTCTCCTCAGAACTTGTTGTCCTGACAGTACTTTGGACTGGGAGCAGCTTCTCCCTCCCATACCTGTTGGAGATGGAACCCAGGAAAGCATGCTTGGAAAGCACTCTAGTACTGAGCTAAAATTCCAACCATGAAAGCAGTCACTTGTTACATTTTATATCATTCACTGACTGATATTGCTGATGTTTACTGATCCTTTCGTTTGTTTTTGAGCTGACTCTAATGTAGTCCTGGCTGTCCTGGTTCTCGCTGTATAGGTCAGGCTGGCATTGAACTTGCAGCAGTCTTTTTGCCTCTGCCTTCTGAGTCCTTTCTTTGCATACTTCCCTCACATTTTACTGTAGGAAGCAAGAATAAACTAGGCAACACCGTCAACTCTCTGGGTGGCAATTTGCTTATCTGTATCACCCCGTTCATTACGCACCTTTTCTAGTTTGCGCATAACTACAGTGACCGTGCTATAATGATCCTCTCCTCAGTTTTTAATTAGATTCCCTTGAGTTTTCTTTGAGCCCTAATTGGCAACCTCATCAAAGGACATGAGTCTACAGTTTCCTTAAAACAGGAACTCGAGTGGATCTGCAAAACTCACTCACCAATCATCCGCTACTGACCTCAAAGCTACATCTACTTCAAAAACTTTTTGTTCTGTGGCGGGAGAGATGGCTCTTCCAGAGGACACATTTCAATTCTCAGCACACACATGGAAGCTCAAGACCCTCTGCAGTTTCAGTCTTTGGGGAACGTGTGCCCTCTTCTGGTCCCTGTAGGCATTGCATGCACGTGGTGCACAGACACACATGTTAGCAAAACATCCATATACATAAAAATAAAATAAAAGAAATTCTTTGTTCTGACAGCATCAGCCTTGTTCTGCTTAAGCTGATAATATGGAATCTATTTTTATCACAGTTCTGACGACTAGAACGTGTAAGATCAAGGACACAGGAGATTTCACTGAGTGGTAAGGTATACTACCTATTCATAGAGGTCAATCTGATCCTCCTCCTATTTTTCACACAGTAGAACGTTAAGTAAGCTCCTGCAGGACTCACTAAAGGATTTTTAACTATTCACATGGGCTTAAGCCTTAAGATTTATCACTTCAAATGCCAGCTCATTGAGATTTGGGTTTCAACATAGGAATGTAGGGTTGCAAGTTGATCTATCGCATCACTCAACTTAGTTACCAATATTAGTATCATTCTATTGCAGAACAATTGTCCCCATTTATAAACTGAAAACACAGAAGTTAAGATTTATTATCTCACATGGTTTCTAAATACCAGAAATCCCAGAGTGTTGGTGCAGTCATTGTGACTAAGGTGCCAGTCTAGGGCTGTTCTCAAATCATATGGCACTAAGAGATTCTAGTTCCTTGCTACAGAAGCCTGGTTACATTTGGATATGAAATGTCCCCAAACATGCTTGGTTTCCTGGATGGGGATCTAATTTCAGAGAAGTAATTGGATCCTAAGGGATCTGATCTAAGCAACGGATTCTTTCCTTGCTGGTTTTATAATGCGATGGCATTACTGAGAGGTGTTAGAAAGTCAGAAGTGAGGTCTAGTTATAAGAAGTAGTCACTGGGGGACTGTGCCCTGGAAAGATGTCCTTGACCTTTCCTTTCCTGTTTCTGTTTCCTGGCCACCAGGGACCAGAATCTCTGAGGGTCTGAGCCAAATATTTCAATCATTCCTCTTTTTGTTTTCTCAGGTTTATGTCACAATTAAATCCTCAACCAAAAAGGCCTCTCCATGCTCACAACATGCTAATTCATGTTTAGTCAACCTCAGAGCCAGAGATTGACAAAGAGAGAAACCAAGGTATCTTTCATAAACTAGTCTTAGAGGCAATATTCTACTGCTTCTGTTTGTTGTGCACAGAGCAGACACAAGAATATAAACACCAGATCCTAGTAAGAACTACCCTGGAAGATGGTGCGTCTGAGAATGTTACCATTTCAGGGACAGTCTCATTTAGAGCACCTAGAACAGACAGCAAGTATCAATGGGGGGATTTGGACTTTCTATAAATAATTTTAACAGGAGCAAAACAAAACATTGTTCAATAAACATTGATATCTTACTGTCCTGAATAGACCAATGTAGTTACCCCTAGGTGAAAGGAGTCAAGAAAAATGAGTTTAAAGCACAACTGTTAGAAGTAGCCAAAATTCAAGATTCAGCATGATTCTTGTACAACCAGCAGTCTGTTAAAATGTTAACTAAGAAACATGGCGAAAAAATGCAAATCAGTGTTCATAACAGCTACTAACATAGAAGTCTCGGACATTTCATTGGTTGGAAAAACTAATATTCCACAAAATTTTCCTTCACATGTTACACACTAATAAAAATATTGCTAAAACTCAGGAAAGTTTGACTTTCACCTATGAGATAATTTGCATGATTAAAACATCTGTACATACAGCTCAAATTTGAGGTCAGTCTCAACTGCATAGCACCAGATCAGTCTCCCGTCTTCTCTCTTCCCTCCCCAACACTCCCTTCCTCCTTTCCCTCTCTACTACTTGACCTTCCCCTCCATTTCTCTTTCCTGTGGTGAAGATAAATCCTAGACCCTCACTTTATCACTGTCTCAAAACAAGACCCCCAGACAAGTGCCTGGTGTTTAGTGGTAGAGTGTGTGCTTACAGTATATTAAGCATGGAGGTCAATCCTTAGCATCAAAAGAATGAATGAATGATGTGTGAGTGAATAAATAATGTTGCATTCTTTTAAATTGATGTTTTTCTTCTAATTTCTGGCTTGCAAAGAAACATTTCATTTGTCTTCTTTTATCTACCACATTTGAAACAAACCTGTACCTTTTGTTAATACAGTGCATGGGCCTGGAATACTAAAATTCCAATCCATGCCTACTAATGCACATGCACTGAAGGTTAATGCAATATGTCAGCTTAACCTTGTCTGTCATTGTCTTGTCCTCCCAGTTTTGCTTGACTCCCTTGCTTCTCCTTTTGCACACAATTTCTTCTTTTACTCCACACGGCCCTTTTCAGGACCATTTCCTCCTACTGTAACACCTAGAACAGTGTTTTCCTGTGTGGGTTGTGGCCTGCTAGACTCTGTGTTTGGAACCCAAAGCTTCACAGTGTAACTATGTACACAGAAATCCCTGGACTCTTTAAACCCGAGGATTTGTATCTTTCATTAGTTTTGGTCCACACCAATGATTAGCATTCTCATACTTAGTCCATGATTATAATATTTTTGGTTTTTTTTTTTTTAGATAAGACTCTCATTATATGGTTCAGACTAGCCTGGAATTTACTCTCTGGAATTCTAATCACCATTTTACAATCTGCTGTATTTACCATGAGGTTGTAAAGAGCATTTAACTAGCCTTATATGCTAGACTAATCTACCACTTATTTTTAAAGTTGTTACAATTTTCATTTCTGATCCAACTGATTCCTGTTTAAATATGCCTGATCACTTTCAGTCTCTTACTTTATAAAAATACTTATGTACTGGATATTTCTAACAGTTGAAATCTTAAAGATTTTAGTTTTTTGTTGTTTCTGCTGAGCCATGATCATATGTAGGTTCCCTGATTTTCACCTTTACATGTTGTGATTTTCTTTAAAATATATATATGTTTGTTAAAGCCTTAACTATAATTGTATTATGGCTACATATGTCCTTCCACAGAGAACCTGTGATTGTTTCTAGCTAAGTATCTAAGAATATTACAGAACTATATCCATTTTTGATTAAACCTCTTCATTTGTAGAGTTTTAGAACTGTGAAAAACTCTAAAGATCAAAAAGTCAGCTCATATCCACGGATTATTAGCAGAGCTCTTACCTACCCTTAGACCTGAAGCCTCTATAAATGGCCTCTGACTAGCCCTCCACTTTACTGTAGGACACAAGAAGTGTTTCTCTAGGACCAATCCATCATGTACAGAAGATTTATGCCAACAGGAAGGTGTTGAAGGAAAGCACCGTTCTAAGTGTTACAGTAGAAGAAGGGAAATGGTCCTGAAAGAGCCATGTGGAGTAAATGAAGAAATTGCAAGCAAAGCACAGGGGGAAGACAAGGCAGTCAGGCCAAACTGGGAGGAGAACACAATGACAGACAAGGTTAAGCTGACGTGTCGCATTAACCTTCAGTGCCAATCCCTACCTAACTACTCCAACGGGTAGCTGAATTTAAAAAGTGCTTTGTCGTCAAAGAAGTCAGTGGGAATGTGGAAGGCTGACTTGGAGAAGGGAGCTCAGATCTCTGTAATCTCTGCCAGCATCTGAACCCAGCACCAGGAAAGAACTCACTCTAGCCCATCCCTTGTCTTCTATGAAAGGATGTGGAAACCTTTGCTGCTGTGAAATCCTTCCTGTTGGCACTCATTCTGAGAATGTCCTCAAAGTGTTCAGTGACTTCAGTAGCCATTTACCTTACACAACACACTTGTTTTGGTCCTACCTCGAACGGTTTTTATTTTCTTATGTGTCCATCCATCTGTCTTAAAGGGCATTTTACTTGTTTGTTAGAGTGGGAGACCCAGTTCTTGCCCGCACACTACTGCAAATGGAATTCTATTACTTCTAAAACGATCCTGTAAAACTTCAGGTTGGGACAGCACATTTATTCTTGACAAACTTTTAATTGTCAAGAGAAATGATAATGCCAATCTTGGACTGTTATCTCACCTCAGAAAGCTTGTGTCTTCTGGAAATCTGTCCAATGCTTGCAGCTTTCAGTCACTGCTCAGTACAGTTCTGACAACCAGAAAATGCTCAGAATTAATTCTATAAGCCGTATAGAAAAGATTTTATAGCAAATTTAACAGTTTCCTATACTTTTCAGTTATAGAGAATTACAAATTACATTCTCTGGCATAATCAGATACAGACATATCAGAACAACAAGCAATCCTTACTTAACTACTCTAACAGGCCACTAAATTTAAAAAGTGCCTTATCATCAAATAAGCCAGTGGGAATAGGAAGGGCAGCTTGGAGAGGGGAACTCTGAACCTCTGTAATCTTCACCAGCACCCACACAATATGAGGACATAAAACACATTTCAGTTGATCCCTAGTCTTCTACAAAAGGATGTGGGAAACCTTTGATGATGTAAGGATATTTTCCCTTATCACAGTCTGGTAAAGTTTAGCTCTATTACTTCACAGAAAAAAAAAAAGAAAAAGAAAAAGAAAAAGAAAAAGAAAAGGAAAAAAGCCGGGCAGTGGTGGTGCACACCTTTAATCCCAGCACTCGGGAGGCAGAGGCAGGCGGATCTCTGTGAGTTTGAGGCTGGGCTGCACCAATAGCCTCCAAAACAATACAGAGAAACCCTGTCTCGTAAAACCAAAAAAAAAAAAAAAAAAAAAAAAAGGAAAAGATAAAGAGAAAGAAGGAAAACCAAACAGAACAAAAAAAAAAAACCCACAACTCTGAAATGTCATAAAGAATATCTGGGTTTCTGCTTTTGACAGCATCATTAAAAACTGTACATGCTAGGGTTTATTCTTTTCTCTTTTTATTGGTACTATTTGTGTGTGTATGCGTGGTACAAGGTGTGTGTGTGGGAGGGGTTGTGTCTCGGGGAGTATATATGGAGGACAGAGGACAGAGGACAGCTAGGACACTGATTCTCTTGTCATGTTGTGGGTTCCAGTGATTGAGCTCAGGTTGTCAGGCTTGTATGGTAAGCATACTACATGATGAGCCTACATGACAACCAAGTTTTGTTCTTTTTTACTTCGACATACTTTTAATTCAAAACCATTTTACATAGCCATTTGGGACACTCTAGTATTTATCTCTGTATCAATAACAGTTTGTGTAGATATCCCTGTGCTGGCTAGTTTTATGTCACCTAGACACGAGCTAGAGTAGTTGGAAGGGATGGAACCTCAATTGAGAAAATGCGTCCATAAGATCTGGCTGTAGGGTATTTTCTAAATTAGTTCACGATGGGGATGGGCCCAGCCCACTGTAGATGGGGTCATCTCTGGGCTGGAGGTCCTGGTTCTTTAAGAAAGCAGGTTGAGAAAGTCATGGGAAGTAAGTCAGTAAGCAGCACTCATCCATGGCCTCTGTATCAGTTCCTGCCTCCAGATTCCTATCCCAATTTCGTTTAGAGATGAACACTGATATGAAAGTACAAGCCACATAAACCCTTTCTTCCCCAAGCTGTTTTGGGCATGGTGTTTTATTGCAGCAAGAGTAACCCTAACTAAGACAATCCCCTATCATAAATGAGGAAAACTTACACCTCTCTCCTTTAGCACACTGCTCTTGCATGAAGAACATATAAACCACCAATCTGGAGTCTGAGTCTTCATTTTCCAAGCAGCCACTATAGGTTTAAACTGAGCTGTAGCTCCAGATATTCTTTCTTCTTCAAGGTGGATGTTTAGCCTGTAGTAATGTATAGTAATAATAACAATAATAATAAATAATAAAAATACAAGTTTTGGCTTGGGAGTCACATGGACCTGGGTTTAAACCCCGAGTCTCCTACTTAATACCTGTATAAACTGAATCGAATTACTTGAAAAACTCAGAACCTATAAAAAAAATCATATGTGGCAATGTTAGATCAAATGACACAACATGAATAAATGCCAGCATAACATTAAACTCAGTATAAACTGCCATGCGCCCCCACAATCAATTTTCTTCCCGAATCTTCTCGTGCCTCTTTCTCTCTCCTCCTCCCTCTGTCTCAACAGGTGCTTGCTCTGTAACCCAGGATGGCTACAAGGTCACCATTTGCCTGCCACCACCTCACCAGTGCTGGGATTGCAAATGTGTGAGAAAACATCTGACTCAAGGGACGACTATTTTGTCTGGTGCTCTTCTGTGTAATTTTGCATGTGATTATGACTTAATTCAATCTGTCCAAAAGGTCTTTCCAGAGAAAGTTTTCTTAAGCCACAGACTTGAATTTGCTTTGAATGCTTATCAATATTCAGCAACATGAAATACACCTAGTAATGCATATACCATTCACTCTCCAAAAGACAACATGCCCAAATCCTAGTGCCTAACATACCACACACCGGTGACTGGAGAGTCCAATTCTATGTCCAAAACCACTAGAAAGTTCCTTCTATTATGTGGTGACATTCCCAAAGTGTAAAAATTCTTTTAGTTCTTTTTTAGTTTTTTTTCCTTTCCTTTTATTTATGTTGTGGCTGAATATGTAAAAATACATGATTCTGAGGTCAAAATATAAACAAGTTATCGAAAGAGAAAGCTCTCTGCCTTTAGAGTATTCTATATATTAGTCCTCTGGAGAAAGATGGTGATTTGGAAGGGTACCACCTACTTAGAGACTGTCCTATTATTTACTGTTTGGCTGCAGTACACTACAGTATATCCAGTCAATCTCCTACTAACGAGTACTTGAAATGTTTCTAATTCTTTAATTAAGTATGATGGTTAATATTAAATGTCAACTTGGTAAGATACTGAGTCAACTCAGAGATATGACTCAGGGCAGTTCTGTGAGGGAGTTTCCAGAAAGGGTTAGGTGAGGGGAGAAACCTCTCCCTCAGAATGAGTGCACCTTCCAACAATTGGCCCAAATATAGGGACCAGAGAAAAGGGCAGGGTGGCCAGCCTGCCTATGTTTCTTGCTAGTGAGTATGGCAGCTGCTGCTGCTGGTGTTAGTGCCACCATATTTCAGAGCTCAGACTCCTGCTCCTTTGGCCTTCCAAAACGGAAACCAAGCCTTGAGCACCAAATGAGGTCAGAGGCATACGGTTGTAGAGACTGAATACCTACTAGGTTCTTATCTTCTCTGGCATAGAGCACACAGTTATTTTTGAACTACCCACTTGAATGAATCCTTTAAAATATATGCTCATTTTACTGGTTCTGTATACCAGGGCACCCTGTCTAACACAAGCAGTGCTCAGTGACCAGTTGTACAGAACTGTGAGTGTATTTTATCTTAGTGTTTCTAGAACAGATTACTAAAAGTCTAACGTCTGTGCTAGAGGATACATGCATGTGATTTTGCTGGATACTGCATGATTCTTTCCCAGATACTTCATGTTAATATACCCATATGTGCCAGCAACGTACCCACATGTGTATTTTCCCACCAGCTGAATAGTATAACTTCTAGATCTTGCTGAGACATGCTTAAAAGTATATTTAATCTTGCCTGTGTGTATATACATTTGTAGGCACATGTACATGTAGGCAAGTTCATTTTAGTGTCCTCCTCTATCATTCCATGCCGTAAGTTTTGACACAGGAATGCTCACTGATCCCAGAGTTCACCGGCTGGCTAGGCTGGCTGGCTAGTTAGCTCCAAGGATCCTCCTATCTCTGCCATCCCCCTTCTCCTCCCAATGCTGGAGTTGCAGAAACAAACTTGCCCTTCCTGGCTTTTATGTGATCGCTGGGGTCCAAACTTAGGTACTAATGCTTGCAGAGCAAGCATGTTACCAATGGAGCCGGCTCCCCAGCCCTCAACAGTTCTAGTTCTCCAGCACAGCTTTAATTTGAACTTTTTTGTGTGTGACTGAAGCTGGGACCTCTTTCCATGCTGTCATCTGATTTCTCTTCCTGTGAGGTGTCTTTTCACTTCTTTGGTGCATGATTTGCCTAGATTTTCAGAAACTGATTGTAATTAACATTAGCTTTAAACATTCCCCAACATTTTGTCATTTGTCTTTGCTTGCATTTGCCACCATGTAAAAAACTTTTTTTCAACACGTTGGGTTTATCCTGATTTTTCCCCCAACACTGAGTCATAGTTATAAAAATCTTGGCTTATGCTTTCACACTTTAACCAGGTTGGACGACTGCTGTTTTGCTCAGTGTTGCTATTGAGAAGTCTGTTGCCAGCCTCCTTTCTTCCTGGAAACTCAAGGGAAATTTTCTCCATTGTCTTCAAAGTTCCACTAAGCTATAACTTGAAGCTGATCACTTTGGATCAACATTCCTAGTACACAGGCTCTCTCCTTTAAAATGGGGGAGTAGAGGCATGACTATACAGTGTTGGTCATGCTAGGCTACCACTATGCCACTGACACCTCTAGTCTGAAGACCTTTTTATTATGAACACTGAGTCTTCTTTATTTAAAGAATGCTTCCCTGGATAGAAGTTTCAATATACCAGCCCCACTATTGTTTTTCTACTGAGGAACTTAAATCTTTCATCTTGTATCTTAATTAACTCCTAGATACTTGTGATATAACTTTGAAGCAGAACACATACCTAAAATATAAGGCCCTGGGTTCAATCCTTAGCACAATACCCATCTATCTCTGTCTCTTTGCTGTGTATGCACACACCTCTGTGCAACTTTCTATTCCCATTGTCTTTTTTTGGGAGGAGAAGCTGTCTTTATGACTTGTCATTCTCTCTTAGTGTGCTCTTCTCTCCCTGAAGTACCTTAGAGTTTAGCTTCATTTTAAAAGATATATTTTCTTAGTTCAGAAAATTCATCTTCACATCTTTTTTGCTTTTGCTCTTTTGGGGTTATGATTTGGATTTGCATGTCTGCAAACGCTTTTCATCCGTGAAGGAGTTCTGCACTGTAGTTTGCTTTGCTCTGCTACTGAGTGTTCTAAGCAGCTTCAATGGCAGCTGAAATGCTTTGACTCCCCATTCACTTTTCTGTTCAAGTAACTTTACATGAATGTTGTCTGCCATCTTCTGTTCAGTTTTGAAATGTTTTCTTTTTCCTAAACTAGATGACAGTACATATACACAGGAAAGAGTAATGTGAATGGCTTACTGGTTTCTTAGTTCAATGGTACTTAACTGGTTTTGTGCTTGTTGTCTGTTGTTTATTTTCATCCTTTTTGGATGAGGGGTAGGCTTATCCACCTTCCATTCAGCTTCAATAGATCCTTGATTTCCGATACCTCTTCACTGCTTGGAGGCTCCGTGCTCCTTCCTTTACGGCTCCTCTTTCCCTAGGATCAGTACATTCCTGAGACTGCCTCTTGGGCACATATACAGGTCTCACGTATCTCAGTATTTCCTTGGGTCTTCTACCCAGCATGGCAAGTATTTTTGCCCACTGAGCCAGCTTCCTGCCCTTTTTATTTTTCTTCCATCTTTTGTAGTTTTCTTTATGACAGCTGTTCATGTCCTTGAGTAAATACACATTTTAAGTATTCTTAACTGTGAATTGAACTTATACAATCTTCTTCATCTACATACCTTCCAGACCACCTCCTGCCTTGTGCTACTTTTTCTTAGGGGGTTGGGAATCTGTGTGGAATCCAACTGAAGCTTTACAACATGCTTGGGAAATACTCTATCCCTGAACCACATCTCAAGCCTCTCCCTTCATCTTTTACTAAGATCTGAAATATTTACATTTATTTAGCACACCCAACCCTCCCTTTCCTATTATTAATAACTATATTATCATTATTCTCTCCTCTACTATTCATGCTTATGCTGCATTTCCTTTATGTAGCAACCTGAAATTCCTTTTTTGACAAACTTGATGCACATCTAAACGCTGACATGTAGGACACCAACTACATGGATTTCTCCCTACACTGGGCAACTGTTTAAGTCTCTTTACATCACTGGATGTCCTAGGCTTCAGTTACAAGATTGCTCATTCAGCAGACCGCACAGGTTAAGGACTGTCACTTATTTTTAACACCAGTTACAGAACATAGGTTGTTATCTACACTTCTGAGCAACCAGTTATGAATTAGAGGTGTGTACAACACACCCACTAGGGGCCAATAATTTGCTAGAACTTACCAAACTCAAGAAAGCATCTTTGTACTGTAATGTGGCCCATATAGGAAATAGCATCCACCTCAAAAGTCCTAGTCTAAGAAAAATAACCACAATCCATAACCGAATCTACAGATTGCCCGTTTTTACAACTTATAGCACTGCCATGGGCAAGGCAGAGGCAAATTGAGAATATCTGTTTTACCAGGTTTGGCCAAGCTGTAAATGAATTCACATTCCCATAAACTTACACATATAAATATTCTTTTTCTCTTAATGTGGGCTTAGAGCAAGTCTTGAGATCTAGAGCCAAGCTTTATGGCAGAAAATCCCAGTAACAGTACCACCAATACATTATAAAGTCTTTAACTCAGGACAGCTAAACATAAAGGATATATAGGACAAGGGGTGAGGATGAGGGGCAGAGCTTCCATGCCCTGCCTAGACTCACCACCTTTCTAGAACTTTTGTGTACTATCCAGGAACACCATCACTTAGGGGTTTTATGGGGGCTCAGCTATGTAGGCATGAGTTGACTAAATAATTGCAACTAGGGACTAAATTCAAACATCCTTTCACTTCCAGGGAGGGAAATGAATCCTGGAAGTGTGAGTGTGTGTGTGTGTGTGTTTGTGGTGTGTGTATGCATGTAATAGTGTGTTGCAGTCTGCACATGAAGGTTAAAGGACA